GGCAAGGTGCTTGGATAAAATGCAAGGGACCCAAGACGTTACAGTACAAAACATTACAAACACTCAAGCAGGGAGTGATTTCAGCCTATGTTGGGTGGGTATGTTGTTGTTGTTGTTGTTGCGGTGACTGTTGTTTTGGTGCTGGTGGTGGTTTGTTGTGTGGATGTTGTTTAGGCCACATGTCCAAATAGACACCAGCTCGTCTGGCACGAAGGGTTTGCTGGACTATGAGTAGTCCGTAGTCAAACCAGCACAAGCCAGCATGCGCCAGTGGAAAGCAACCTGAGGAGTGTGCTGGCGCTGTCCTGCAGTTGGGGACCTCTCATTTTTTTCTCTGTTTGCTCTTTATTTTTATCCAGAATTAATCTTGGGTCCCCCCCCCAATTTTATCCAGGCCTGGAGCGAGGCTTTTTTGGCGTTGGGTTCTTTTTGCAGGCTGAAATCAGTCCTGCTGGAGTCAAGCCTGTCTTGGGTACCTCCCTTTCTATTCTTCCTTCTTTTTTTTTTAGCCACTTCCAGGGGGATCCAACCCCATAGTGAGTAGTAGACCGGGGATATGGAAGGTGTTGTCCCACCAGTAGACCGGAAGAAAAAGATCCATCGAGATTTGTGGATCAGCTTTCGATGTTCCAGTTGTTGTTTTCGTGCACTGCAGCAGTCGTGGAATTTTTGCGGTGTTGAGAATTGAGAATTGACACCTCATCAAAGGATCAACGGTTTTGTCATGTGGTTCTCCATGAGGCCTTATAGAAGTGACCAACCGGACCAGCTGGCTCCGCTAGCTAGCTCCGTCCGGACCGTGAGCATATACATGCACAACGAAAGGTGTACCGGGTACCGGATGCTTGGTCAGCGAACACGAATGATAGGAGAGAGTTTGTTGTCCTTTAGGGTTGGAGGACACGCGCTGGTGTTTTCAGGCAAGCAATCTCTAGGAGCCCAGAGGGTTAAAGAGAACCGGCATCCAACATGTTCAGGCAGTCGAGACCCTTGAAGAAGCAGCCGCCTGCAGAAGCCTTGGAGGAGTCTGTTTTGATTGACCACTATGTGCGACTATAAATAAAAATACTATATTATAGTGAACATTATTGTTATAATATGTTATAGTGAACATTATAGTGAATGGTATACCGAAATATACATATCACATATACTCTATGATCATAGAATTGTAATAATGATATATTTATTAACATATAAGAATACTAATGTTATAGAAAGCATCGGGCAACACGCGCACGACTGCATGAAAAAATAACATCGCCGCAGGACGCACATCCAGCTGTGAGGCTCAAACACCGTGGTGTTTTGGGTGACGCATGCTGACGCGGTCTTCGTTTGTTTGAAGCACCTTGCAATTCAGGTCCTCTAGGGTAATAACCCAGGCTTGCCAAGAGCCTGTTTCTTTGTGGCTTGCCCACACCCATGGCAACCAGCTGGGTGTCTCACAGCATGTAGCTGTAGCCCATCATATCAAGTCACTTAGCTCGGAGCAAAACATCCACTGATCCCGGATGTTCATTTGCAACCAACTGGATCTTCAACTGTATGTGTGGATCGTGTCAGGCTATTTGCTGCCGAGGATAGTGAGGCGCACAGACACCGCTTTCGTCTTTTGCTTGCAGCCCCTTGTTTTGAAGGCGATGCCCAAAGCAAGGGCTACAAAGATAAAAACTTAGAATGAAGATAGACCGGTTTCAAGTCTTCAGCCATGAATCCCAAATTGTAATCCTCACAGGCCTGGATCTGGAGCACATTATCGTGTAGTGTGACCATATTTAGTGAGAGCCAGCAGAATTGGAGCAGAGTGAACCCAAAAGCTCCCAGGCGATCTGAGTTCTTTTTCTCAGACGCTTGGCCAGTTGCGATCCGAGTGTTTGATCTAGTGAACCCACACGTTTGGCCATGGACGACGCAGGAACCCCGGCACTGAACATATATTGAATAAATGCTTACCCAAAAAGGAATGCGTAGGAAAGCTTACCCTGTGTGGCTCGCGGACAGGATGCCTTTGATCTCAATGCAAGGCACATCGAGAAATGACGTTCAAATTCGCCTGTGGGAGCAAGAGTTGGGCTGTCGCTATCAGTAAGGCAAGTTGTTTCGCTTGTCACGGCAATCACAACATGACTGCTATTGAGGTAGTGGTGTAGGGACGCAACGCGCTTGTGGTGTTTGCATGCCAGCACACCATCAATAGTCATCAATATCAGAGTAGACTTGCCAGTGTTTGAGATGTACATTGGCATTGAACAGCGCATCCTGACATGTTCAATTGTGGAGGTTTTCTCAAGCCAGTAATTACTAACAAAGATCAGCGAAGTCCTTGATCCAAACTACCAAAGTTGCGAATCGTCCAGGAGCAGCTGGAGCCGGCAATGCTCCGGAGCCTCACAGGCCGGAGCTGACGACCGGACGGAAGGAGCGCTCGGAGCTGTGGCCCTTGGAGCACGGCACGAAACCCGGGAGGTGTGGCCCTAGCGATTTGGATGGGCAAACGGCTAAAGCGGGCAGCGACGAAACCGAACTGCATGGCCTAGACCGGGCCGTTCGGTTCGGTTCGAGATGCGTTGAGCAAGTTTGATGCGTTGACCAGGAGTTCAAGTGCCTTGTGACCGGTACCTTGTGAAATGCGACGTTTGGAAAGTGGACAAGTGACATAAGAGGGGCTGAGCGAAATCAGGGAAGCTGACCTACTGGTACTGTACCAACATGTACCAGTACATGTACCAATTTAGTTCGAAGACACGTCACGTCGTTTCTTTGTAAGTCTTTGGCGTCTAGGACTAGCCGCGAGCACCTCGAACACCACCATGGAGCTGGAGCTCATGTTCCACCGATGTTAATGGTTTCAGATCAAACCACAATGACTCGGATGTGAGCACAAGCCGACCAGTGTCATGGAGACCTTATAGGCCCTATAGTTGATTCGTTTGTCTCAATATATTTTGTTCCCAGGTGTCCAACACGTCATCGCGTATGTCATCGCGCCGGCAATCATTCCTGGGGATTACAAGCAACTTGCAAGGAAGTTAAGGAAACGAATGGGAATGAGGGTAAATGAAGGTCCAAGTAATGTAAATCTTCTAGGCGGCATTCTTGTAGTTAGGAGTATAATCAAGTCCAAAAAGCTGGAACACAAGGTGAGACTGACTCACTCAGCGTCAAGGCAGAGGACACAGGTGATCCCCAAGTTCGTGGAAGCTGAAGCCCAGCAAGCCTGTTACTTCCGACATTTGAGTAGCTGTGGTTTGTTTATATTAAATGATAACATTTCAATTACTGTAGACTGGAGCTCACCAAATGTTTGCGAAGGCATTTGTGTGATACTGTGGCGAAGGCTCGCGAAGCCAATTCACGAAGCCTCTGGTGTTGGCGCGAAGCCTGGCAAAGCCACCATTCCCACAAATTCGGACCCTGCGAAAGCCCTAGGCAACCGAGCGAAAGCCCTAGGCACTTTACACCACTTTACCTTTAAACAACACGGCTCAATAATATGGACCTTCAGGAACTCGAATCTCCTGGTATGCCTACAAGATTTGTTTGACGACTATAGAAGCAGCGCCGGGTCGACAAGTCTGCGTATGGTGTTGCTGTTGCAACGGAACCCCAAACTCGTGGGAGCCAACAACCCATAACGACCCCCACAACCCCCCAAGCAGGGTCCTAAAGGTGCTGACGCTCAGTGTAACCTGCCTAGACACAGCGTGTTGAATCTGATGTGAGAATTCCTGTGTTGTCCAAGGATTTTCACATCTGACCTGGAGCTCAAACTCTTGGAGTTCACGGCGTTTTTTCGTGTTCACAGCACGATGTAGATGAAACGAGCGATCCGATCGCTGACACGTCTGATCGCTCGTGTCATGACTTGGGTGTCCCATTTTCTCTAAACTCACCCTGTGTCACCCGTGTGTTTGCATCACCACTGAGGCCTCGAGTTCCGACATGACGCAGGGAAGGCCCGGAGTTTCCACGAGCGGGTTTTGGCTCCCGAGCTGCTTTGGTGGTTTTGGGATGAACGTGTTTAAGGATGTAAAGCATGCTGAAAGCGCATGGAAAACTATGAGAAGCATTGAGAATAGCTAGCTATATACTGCTTTTGGAGTCAAGAAGGATTTTGCAATCTGGCTGAGCACGAACCTCAGTTCTGCGCAAAGCTTGTAGCATTTTATAGCTTGAAAGCTGCATTAATTGGGCGGAAGCCAATTTGTGATGACCATCATGGGAAACCCTCTTCAAAGAAAAGTAGCAATTTGCGCAGCTCCTCAAGGAGCAGACTATGTTCAATTCAACGACAAAACTTGCCACGTGCAAAAGACCACATGCAGCAAATCGTGACTTTGACCAATCGCCCATAGCTCTCTTTTCAAACCCTGTTTTGCAACCAACACGGCACACATCTGAATGTGAGTCGACCTGTAGCCGCCACAGTTGCGTACATAAGTAGATGTTCGGATGATGCAAGTGACACAGTAGATTCTGTGAAGAATTCCGAAAAGCAGATGGACTGCGATTCCTGCAACCAACCAGTCCGACGGCGCGTGTGTCGGGCAGAAACACCGGTCGAAGCAGGTCAAACCGCTGCGACCGACGCCTGCGACGGTGCGGCGGGCGCCCGAACCTGCAGGGCCAGGTGGGGGCCGAGTGGATTGGTGTCGGGGGGTCAAGAGGATCCTTTTGGGGTGCATGGGGGTCCAAGGCGGTTTTCATGTGTGGCCACCGTTTTTTTCTTGTGTTTTTGAAGCAGAATGGTTCCACTTTTGATCCCGTTGAAGTCCCCCCCCTCACGATCAAGAGGTATCCAAGAATATCCCCAAGATCATTGAATCTCAAAAACTACCTAGCCATGAAGTGAGCTGCTTGCCATCATAGCGGCGCTGTGGCCAGGGCCTGGCTTGATGCTGCCGCATGTGCCCATTCAGGCCAGCACCTCATCGCCCCCCATTCAAGCCCCGCAAATGGTTTGTTTTGCACACCCATCTTCAGGAAGAGGAATGCAAAGGGAACAGAATTACATGGATTTGCGACTGTCAAGGAACCTCAATTACTTCTATCAGGCTTTGCCGATTGTATAAAAACATTTTAAGGGTTTTAGGCTGTCAACTGTCTAAACAAGCTCTCAAGCTGTTGCTTGTGGAGCCTGGTGGATGTGTCTTTTCTTCCTGATCTATTAAGCTTGACTCTTCGATGTGTATGAAGGCGCGGGGGAATTCGGACTCGGAGCACCTCTCCCCTGGCCGTGGCCTTAAGCAAAGTTGGGTTCTGCAAAGTAGATCGAGATTGATCGAGATTTCTTGGTATGTGTAGTATATGTGATTCGTCTATAAATTTGTATTGATTGAGCATGAATGAAGGGTAATTACAGTTTGGGACAGAGTAAAATTCTATGTTAATGTTCTCAAACAAATTGTAATACTGAAGTCCTATAAGATGGCCCATAGTCATTGAATACCTTGGATGTTGCAAGAATCTTTGATGGTAAGCATGTTGACATGTGTGTTCCATCGATATAGTTGTTCAAGTTAAGGTACCAGTGACCTCCGAGCCTCTTCTGAATCTTCCAGTGACGGCGAGTTCCAGAAAAGTGAGGACGAATCAGCGACGGACATGGTGGACTTTTTGCCCAGCATGGAACTGAAACCCTCCAGACGACTTTGCTATGTCATAGAATATATAGAAAATGCCCGTCGTTGCACTATTGCCTTGGCTTCATTTATTAAGATTCATAGAAAGGGCCATGAAGAGTGCTTTCACCCTGCCCATGTGAGGAGCGGCCACACATGCCAAAGCTCACAATGAGACCACCACAGGACTTTGCGTGTGAATTCGTTCAACACATGTCAAAACAAAGAACTGGTCCTGAGTCCTGAAGCAATGTTCTTGATGTTTTAAGGCTTAAATGCAGGGCGATGAGAAGACATCATCCGATCTTGGAGTAGGGCGGCCTAAATGTGTGTACAGTCCAGTTGTTAGATCCGTATGATGTGAGAGATGCCTTCAGGACAGCCAGAGCGGTTCGCAAACACAGCGCTAAGCACCAGACAGGAGGCCAGAACCGACAGAACCCAGGCTAGTCTGGATTCTGTGTGACCCTTTTTCTCTTCACCTCCTAGGTCCTAGCACTTGAATATGCTTGAATACTGACTAGTAGCAAGTGCCTTACTAGTAGTAACAAGTGCCACGCTACTAGGAGCAAGGACGCTACCAGGGGCTCCTGGCCTTACTAGTAGAAACAAGAAGCTACTGACTATCTCTTCACCTCCTAGCACTTGAATATGCTTGAATACAAGCAAGTGTTACTAGTAGCTTCCTAGTAGATTCCTTTGCTTGTAATTACAAGTGCATCGCTAGTGGTAACAAGTGCCTTACTGGTAGTAACAAGAAGCTAGTAATTACAATTCTAATTAAATTCTTATTGTTTCTACTAGTAAGGCACTTGTTCCTAGTAGCTTCTCTTCACCTCCTAGCACTTGAATATGCTTGAATACTGACTATACTTGAAGTGTTACTTGGACATTGTTTACAAGCAGACCAAACACCTTAAAGACCTACCAGACTTGGCAACTAAGGCCACCCCCTCTCTCACCGCGAGACAGTCTTTTCAAAGTCAACGACGTGTTCCGTTTCACCTTCGGACCTTTCGCAGTCGAACCTGCCATCGACCCACGTGCTTCGATGGTGTCAGGCTGTCCATGCACGTGGTCAAGCCACTGGAGTCGTGGCCTAGCCACTGGGTGGCAGGAGAAGTTGAAGCCACTGTTGCAGAACTTGCTGTGATCTGTGGCAGTGAAATAATTGGAGATGTAGAGAGCAGTTTTCAGATAAGACACCGCCTAGATGTAGTTGAATAATGTTGAAGAAGCCTGTAGGAGAAAGGTGCTTTGTTTCTCAGGAAAAGGGGCTTTTGACTCGTGAGATTGTGCAATTTATGAAATAAATATATGCATACAAGCAACATACTCCCTCAACTTTGCACTGGGCCACATCATAGGCTGCCAGTTTGCATGCAGGATTACAGTATACTTTCAGAAGATAAGCTTCGCCCAAGCTGAGAAGGTGATTCCTTTTGGAATATTATTTTGGAATGGAAACTATTGTACAACTTGTTCCCTTTTGGGCCTAGGTCCTAGCTAAATAGTTTTCATTCAAAAGCACTATCACAAAAGAATGGAGCGGACCATGCCCAACCAGGGCCCACCTGGACACTAAACGGTATCATGTTGTTTTTGCTTCCTAATTATCGTGACTTTTGAGCCGTGCGCAGAAGCACTTTTCTTCAGGCCGCATGCGGAACGCCTTTACCAGCCGACGGATCTCCCATGTGGCCCGGAGCCCATTCGATCGATCTCAAGAGAACGGCGAAGCGTGCCAGGCACTCCCCCAAAAAAATGGACCTCACTGTGCAGCAAACGGTGTTTACCCTCGACTTTGGATCCTTGGCGGAATCAGCCAGCCATCTATTAATGCATTGGAATCAGCAAGCAAGAACTATTATGTGCAAAACAAGCAGAAAGAGCCAGCCACCAATCGAAGTAGCTGGCGTTGGTCGGAGTTCGCCAGCTCTAGCCACCAATCCTTGTTGCAGAAGGGCCGATTCAGCCACTAACATCATCAGCGGGGGTGGTGGATTCAGCCAGACACATATAAAGTCATAATGTATCATACATAATCCGATCCTGTGATTGGCAGAATTCAAGAACCCAAGCCTATAGGAAGCACAGACAGAGGATGAAACTGCCTGCTAGAACGGACCCTGAGCATGAGCATGGATGAGATATTCTCGGACGTGGGCCAAAAGGATACGTTGGATTGTCGGTTTTAAAAGGTATTCAAGTACAGACATTCCTGAATGCAAGAATCATACAATACATCAGTTATGATCACATAATTATGAATTTATGATGCTGCCACCCATCCCACCCCAACTCGATTCTACCAGTACAGCCAGGAATGCCAGTGCGACGTGTTTGCCAGTCGATGTATGCCCTGTGAACTGAGGTGGGACGACCTGAGCCCGAGGGGGGGCAGGAGAGCATCGGGATGAGCGACAAGTAGAAGGTGGCAAAGAGGATTCCCAGTACACTTCTCCTAGGAACTATAATGTGTGTGACAGACATCCCCTGTGTATGTCAAGAATATGTACCCGAATCTTGCGTTGGTGGCTTTGCATTCAGGCCCAGCCATTGGGTTTTTTGGACACACAGTTTATGAATATGGTGGTGTGGTGCCCAGAAGGATATACTTTCCCAAAGCCTTTTGGTGAAGCGGTCAACCAAACCTAAAGTAGACGCCCGTATTCTTTGTGTAGATTCTAGATTGTACGTCAAAGCTAGGTGAACCTGCATGTTTTTGAGGTGCCACAGTTTTGCTACAAGTATATCAATCGACCACTTGATCAACTTGAAGGTGATCAACTCATTCGTGAACCATCGCAACCAGCTTGCCGCTCTCAGTTTAGAGCTTTGTGCCTGCCTCTCGGGCGGACTGCCTGGAGGAGCACCGTTGCATTGTCTTCTTGATTGAGTATTGCTTAGTTCAACAAGGGAACACCATTGTTTTGGTTCAGTCTCGGCAAGGATTTCAGGTGCCCCCAAATGGTTGTCAATCTCATAGTTTGTGTGGATCAAAAGCCTGGCACTTTGTCTCAATCTCAAGCCCTTTGTCATTGGAGCCTGTGGCTGATGAGACTTGCCAGGGTTGATCCGTACGTTGTGCAAGTGGTGAGCTACTTGCAAATGTTAATGACACCGGCACTTGATGCCTAAGGCTTTTGCAAGTCGTGGTGTGGAGATCTGTGGAGTGTGTTTCCGGATATCCGGACCACCAAAACGGACGCGGCTCGCGGTGCGCAGTTCATGGAGGGTTTGGGCCATATTTGGGTCTTAGAAAATAGGAGATGACACATCCCATGAGGGCATCTCAACTTCTTTGACCCCCGAACAGAGCATCATAGAGCTCAGGCGATTGAGAGGATCAGGCGATCCAGAACTGTTTGCGAATTAGGGTCACCTTTTTTGAGGTTCAAGTTGCTACTTGAAACAAGGGCATTACTACTATAGTAAGTAACAAGAAGCTACTAGGTGGAGGCCATCACTATTAGGTTGGAGGCCATTGCTACTAGTAACAAGAAGCTACTCGTAACAAAGGGCATCGCTACTAGGAGCAAGGACGCTACTAGGGGCGCTCCTGGCCTTACTACTAGTAACAAGGACGCTACTAGTACTGTAATTGGCTCTCCCAGGTCCAGAACCGCTGCCGTCTCCCAGGTCTTGGTCTCCTTGGGTGGCGATGACCACTCCATCTGCCAGTGGTCCTTGCAGCGGAAAGGAGCGGAGGGTCCCACGGAGGTCGCCCGGGCATCAGTTTGTTCGCTTGGATGAAGCCATAGGGTGTAGAAGTAGCACAGCGACGGGGGGTGCTTTGTCACTTAATGATGGGTTTCGTTGCACCAAAAAGGTGCACTGGTAGCTGTTGTTAGGATCAGGATCACTTGTTTACCTGTTGCTTCCTGTTCAGAAGGAAAGGCCATGAACGCTAGAAGTTGTTCGTCAGTTTCTGTTTGCAAGAGCAATAGGTATGCTCTCACAACGATCAGCATGAAGATATAAGACAATGGTTGTCCTTGAATGCGATAAGAACAGAAGATCTTGGGTGGCTGATGGTCTTGTGATTTTGGGGCGCGTCCAAGCGCCGTCGTGGCTCATTTGTCGTGGCAAACATGTTTGTCGTGCCAGTGCTTGGATCATCGACCTCAGGAGCTGAACCAGAGATGATTAGGCCCTTCCACCATCCGCCGCTGAGCAGAACTTCAGCTGCCACCTCATCAATAGATCACTGGAAAACGTTTAGAGGTTTAGAGGCCAGTCAATTGCCTTCTTGAAGAATTGTCATTGACGGTCACCGTAGCGGGTAGTTGAGGTCAAAGACCCAAGGCTTTCGGGTTGGTAAATGTGAAAGGAACAGGAGCGATAGCGTAGTAACAATACACTGCAAGACAATCCATGTACTGTATACCTTGCTGATTTTTTTGGTTAAAGCGACAAAGGGTGTGCTTTTGCTTCACCAACTGTTTGTGCACATACACCTTGGTTTTTGGTCGTTACTGGATTAACAGCTGCACTCAGCAAATCTATAAGCTCAGCAGCTCTCCAGAAAATGTGTCCTACCTTTTGTGGTGGGGGGGACCGGCCGGATTCCTGGTCAAACAACGATAGCACTTCAAGGCCTATCGTTGTTTGTTTTGCAGGCCGATCGTGGTGCGACCGATCGTTGGTTTCGTCAGCACTCACTTCCCCCCCCGGAGGGTCCCACTGAATGTTCGTCAGATCGTCAGATCAGGATCCTTCAGGAGGGGTGGTCCAGTACTGTATGGTCTAGTGCTGTCCTCGTGCTGTGGCTATCATGCATCTAAGAACATGTCAGACAGACAGTTCAGACACACCGGAACCATCATACCTACCCGTACCCCTGCAGAATCTGCAGGGGATGAGACCGATTCTCCAAGCGGACCGATTCTCCCAGGTGGGCCGAGCTGGAAGGCTCCGAGGCGTCCGGAGGCCGTGTGTGTTTTCCGTACGGCTCGGCCGAAACACGTCGCGTGCAAGACACGAAGCAGCAGTAGTTTGGGGGACACATTTGGAGACCAAGGTTGTACAGAAAGAATTGTAGAATGGTCGAATCGTCTAGAAAATACAGCCGAAGATTGAGGGTTTTGCAGCTTTGGCAGAGGTCAGAAAGACGAGGCAACGACATCAACCGTCTATTATCGATGTTTTGCGCATGTATTCTGTTGAGTGCTCATGCCAGGTAGTCAGCTATAGCGCCGTTGTAGTGGGCTGGTGGCACATGGACGCCCACATGTTTTTTTGGGTTGCGCATGTTTTCCCACATGCCGCCAGCCAGCTACATCTTCAGTGGGACATGTCACGACCAGGGTTCTTGTTTGTGAATCACATTGGGTTGGTTATTTGGGGGTATCTCGAGGTGACTCGAGGTGTGCAGATAATCATTGGTGTGCAGTGTGGCGATTTTCCC